TATCTACAGGGTGTATAAAAAAGCGCAATCCTCGACTGAAATGTAAATTGCTAAACAAATAATAGACGAAAACGTTAAAGTTTACATTCATTTTAAAGCGTAGCCATTCAGCTTTCTAACAGTGGGTTGTTTCTTAAATTTGACTCATTGGTTCGCGGGTAATAATACTTTACGTTATTGCGATTGGAGATTAAAAAATTGAGATGGAATAACAAATCGTTCTCATGAAAATAACTGATTTTTTCATTAAAACAAAAAAATGTTGCATTTTATTAAATGGATTGTAACAATAAGTATAATTAAGGCTTTTCTTCCACTATTTTAACTCAGTTTGAAACTTCAAATGCGATATAATTTTGGCTTGGACCATCTAAGCTGACTGACATCAACTTGCTATAATTTCTGTTTACATTACATCGCAATTCGATGACACTCTGGCTCAGACACCAAAATGTTTTGACGATTTTTAGCATTCGTTTAGGATTTTCAAACAACCTGGTCTCTTTTAAAATACTTTTAATTTGTTCTTACGTGGTTTTCCAGATGTAGTGACGACAACATTAAAGTTTAAAGAAGAAAATTCTAACATTTAAACCGACTAAACAATAACATACTAAACTTGCATAATTAAACAGCAACTAAAAATGATAGGTTTTACTAAATCTTTTCCTGTGCAATTATTACTAGCATTGGAGACAAGGATAATAGTTTGTTTGAAAGAGAAAAGAACAGGCTTTGAAGTAAGCCTAAAAGCGTTTAACTAGAAATAGTATCTCGAAAGTTATTAAGCACAAAAAATGAATTGCGTTTATTTTGATACACCCTATATATATATATATATAGATTAACACACCTTATAGAATGATAATACTTACATTAACAGTATATAACCAGTTGTGCAAAATCACAAAAGAATGATAAATAAATAAACACAAAGAATATAAAATAAACACAAAATAGAAACAAGCTAACAAATTACCTGTTATTTTTGACATTACAGATAGCACAGGCTGTTCAAGAGTTGAAAGTTCAGTTGTATCAGATCCTACAACACTGGAGAAAACAATTAATATGACTGGTACGTACTGTTCAAAACTGTTCAAAACTTAGGGTCTGTTTATATAATCCTGCCTAGACAGGATGTTGCCATTGCAATGAAGCCATTTAAGTGCTTGACATCATATTTTTGTTGCAATAAAGGCAACATGCATGTTCAAAAGGGAAAAGTTCATCCCACCTAGCCTGGATGAAGTGTTTATATAGGAGTTTTTCATCCCGGCTAGGCGGGATGAAGTGTTTATTTTTCATCTCGTTGAGGCGGCATCTGTTACCAAGACCCCGTCTAGGCGGGATAAATGGCAGGATCATATAAACACTCTTTCGAATTTGAATTACGAGCAGGATCTTGGTAAGCATCCAGTCCCGCCTGGTGGGAATCATATAATCAGGCCCCGACTTATTAATTAGTACTGGTAAAATCTTGTCCAGGGCTTTACTTGTACACTTATACACAATGACTCTATAGTCATGAGTTATTGATATATTCACAGCACACAGTTGTGCTGCATTCTCAGAAAAATATAAATACATGTGTCTTAGATTATCAAGTCACATGTACATTAATTTGTTACAGGTAGCACAAGCTGCTCAAGAGTTGCAGTTGTTACAAATCCTGGAACCGCAATGCCAAATTCTGGTACAATGGGTAATGACACATGTGTGACAAAGTTAGGAAAAGGAATTGAGTTTGTTCTTGGGAAGTCAGCTGAAGTTTTAGAATTTGACAAAGCACGGCAGAAACATAAGCAGTCACCTTCTGATAAGTTCATTCTTGACAAGTTTATGAAAAGGGTGGCTGTTATGGAGGTAAAAATTTCAAAGCAAGAACGCCTACTCCGTGCAGAACTTGGTCAATGGGAAAAAGACTTTTACCTGAAAAACAACAAAGTTGCTACTCAAGAAGACATAACAGAATGTCTTCATGCAAAAGCTCTCAGGAACAAGCTAAAATATGCTAAAGCTATCCTGATGAAAGTAAGGAACAAAAAATAGAAGCTGCTGAACGTCCATATTTTAGTTCTCATAAGTTATAAAATTGATAGAGTTTAGGGTCGTTTTATACGTCGAATTTTGGTCAAGTCGAATGCAATTCAAACACTATAGATGAGTCGAGTTGTCTCATTTTCCATGAACAGCATTCGAAGCCACCCAAATTCGACGTATATAAAAGCGGGCATAACACTAGTAATAATGGCTATTCCTTTGGCTTTCATTAGGCCTGTTTCAGACGTCGAACTATCCATGTGCCGAACCTTTAGTTCTTAATAGTTTTATTTCGAATTTATGTACATTTAGTTCTGCAGAGAAAGTTCGACGTCTGAAACGGGCCTTAGCAGCAACTTTATGTAGTATTGCTGTAAATATGTAAATATCAAATCTTGTAAAAACTCACCTTTATAGGCTTTAACCATGTATGTACCATAATAAGTAGAAGAGGAGTAGATTGGAAAACATTTAATACATTTACAACGAAATTTAAAGTTTGAAACACTCACATTCCTTCGTTAAAACGCATTTCGCTTTAAACGGTCGCTAAGTAACCATAGTCCATAAATGGTCAACACTTCCATAAAGGGAAAAGCGAAGTAACACGAATACTGGGCGCCAATATTTGCAGTTTTCGCGCGAAGGTGCAATATTGTACAAGCTGAAACATATATCCGAGTATTTTGTGAAATATAAGTATGCGACATACGGTTGAGGAGAAAAGAAAGATGCGCAATGAGAGAAAGAAGAGAAGCGGTCTCACAAATCGGAATTGAAGCGCGCGGCGCTCATAAAAGATGCACTTCGTGAGGTTCAAAGAAAAACCGACGAGCAAAGGAGCATTGCTTCAAAATATTATAAACTTTGGAGGAGAAGTGTAGAAACTAACAAAAAATTACAAAATAAGTTGGACAACAGAGAAAGCAGTATAAAAAAGGTATACAAATATTAATAGGTACATGAATATTACAATACTTCTTATTAATAATTCTTGGCTACCAGTACCTACAGTATATAAAATACAGATAAATACAGGCGAAGGGACCGGTCATTATTTTTGGAAGGGGGGTGGGGTGGGGGTCAAAGAAAAATGTTGTAATAGGAGGGGGGTCACCCTTGAATTTCTGCTTTCTTAGGGGGGTCTTTCAATTTTTAAAATTTAGGGAAGAAAATATTCCCCTTCCATAAATAATGATCAGTCCCTAATACATTAATTGTCAGTATATATTTTCAAGTTCATAACATTTGATGACATTCTATACTATATAAAGGGTCATCCCTAACACAGCACACACCCCCCCCCCAACCAACCCTCTGTCCCCAAAGTCCTCTTTTATGCATTTTATTGATGAACAATAAATTTCAAAGGTAACTCATTTGAACATGTCCAGCAAAAGTATGGTGGGTGTTAACATCATCCGGCATGAAGAATTGGAAGAGCTCGAGATAAGCAGTGAATCAATTGGGAATGGTGTTTATGGCAATTGTTTCCTCAAACGATTCAACAGATTACAAATAACAGTTGTTGAAAAGCAACTGATTGATAGCACTGTTGACATGTTATACAAAGAAGCAATGTTTATGCAGAAATTTTCCCACAGATGTATCCCATTGCTTCTAGGGGTCCAACTGGAGAAGAAACCAATCTCCCTGATAATTCAATTTATTGGGGAGAACAGTAAGTCCATTACAATCTTCAAATTGTTGTTTGATCCACTCTATCAACAACAAGCTTCAAAAATGTCAACAAAAACATGGCTCTGCATATGTTATGACATTGCTGATGCACTTGACCACATGCACCAGAGGGGATATCTTCACTGTGACCTAAAGTCCAATAATGTGTTGGTTGCTGAAAATAAGGGATATCTTATTGACTTCGGGAAAGTTTGTGAGATCTCTCGACCAAAGGCGAAGAAATATAGGGAGGTTTATAGACATATTGCGCCAGAGGTTTTGAAAGGCTCTCCTGTTGCACCAGCCAGTGATACGTATTCCCTTGGGAGAATTCTTAAAGAAATTGGCAAGACAATAAACAGTTCAATCCTGTTGCAATTAGCCAAAGCAGCAACAAATCCAAACCCCACACAAAGGCCCACTCTTATGAAAATCCTGAACATGTTGAATGCTGAGAATATCCACAGCTGAGATGCAACTACACAAATGAAATGACAAAAAGTTAGGATAGATATTTAAAGACATTGATCATTGGGATAATATTCAACTAGGTAATCTCTAACATTCTCTACTTTGTTATTTTACTCTGTCTATTCCAGATGATTTTACCTGTCAAGCTAGGGGAACAGCATACACATAATTTAAATTCCAATGCATGATTAGTGATGATGCATGCATGACTAAAGCTGATATGAAAGGATATAAACTAATTAAACTTAATCTAATATAAATAAATATGCAATGCACAGCCACAGTGATAAGTCTTACAGTGTCTTTCAGCAGTCAGGTAGATCCTACTGTGTTAATATTACTTCGTTTATTAAACAGATAACTTGACAAAATCATTAAACCTGATAAATATAAACTATAGAGCACAGTCACAGTGATAACTCTTGTGCTGTCAAGATGAATCGTCTTTCGGCAGCAGGTTGTCAAGATATTGTGTCTTTCGGCAACCAGTTTGATCTTAACTGTGTTATTATATTTAAGCACAAATAACAAATTACTAAAACAGTTAAATTGGTATCAAAAACTTATAACCAAACTCTAGCTGTGTAATATAGTTGAATTATATATGTAAGTTTATCAAAATATTTTGTCTTTTGGCCAAACCAACTCAACATTAACTGTGCGATTACTGGGTATTCTCTGAAGATATACCATAGATGTATTCATGTATACATGACTTTTTTAAACATGAATACAAATCATGTGAATATAAATGTGTTGCACAGTCACAGTGATAACTCTTGTGCTGTCAAGATGAATCGTCTTTTGGCAGCAGGTTGTCAAGATATTGTGTCTTTCGGCAACCAGTTTGATCTTAACTGTGTTATTACATTTAACCATGCATAACAAACTATTGCTAAATTACCATTAAAATAAATATTTATAACTAATATTAAAGTGTGTTTACTATATTTAATTTGATCAATCTAAAGCATTATCAATCGATGGTACATCATTATAACAATGTGTATGCTTGACATAGATATTGAATACTTAGATGTAACTCTACATGAAACATGCTTGAATATCATATATAAATAGATTTTGCTATTTTCAGGAACTTAATAGAGTTGAAGTCTTTTACAAAATAGTACCAAAGATGAGTAATGCACAGGGTTGGATATAAGAACATTTTTTTAAAAATAAAATGTTCTTATTTCTTATATTAATATAAGAACATTTTTTGCAATATAAGAACATTTTCAAAAACTTTGATGACGTCATATTATGACATCATCCAAAATCCTAAAATGACGATTCAATTTTAGAATTTAGATGTTGCTGTAACATCTTGGCTTTCAAAATTATAAAAATAGTTATCACTGCTGTATTTATATGACTATTATCTGTATATCTTATTTTCAGGATGAATGTCAAATAGTTAAAATTTACAATATAAGAAAATATAAGAACATTTTTGCCTCACAAAAAAATATTCTTATATAATATAAGAACATATAAGAACAACTAATATAAGAACATTTGCCAACCCTGGTAATGCACACATATAATGTGAATACTTCTATAATCATATATGCGAAAGAGATTCTTCAATAAAATGTACTGAAACAAGTGGACGACAGGGCCATAACAAGCGCTCTTGTCTCCACAGTCTGGTGTTTGGTTCTTTGCAAAAATTAGAAATATAAAGGTAAAAGGGCTGCTTGTATCAGAGCTGGAACCTTACTGTTAATAATATTAAACTACAGTACTTCGATGAACATGTCAGGAGAATCGGGCTCTTTGAAGCAGGTAAGACAATCACAGTGTCTCTTCATAAGCAATTAATTAATCACTTGTTAATAAACTGATCTTTAATATTCACTTTATTTTGGACCATTATGCCATTGTTTGAAACAGTCAAAAACGTCGTAAAAATGATGAGGGAAGCAATTTAGTAAAACGGGAAATACTCACATTCCTGGTGGCCGTATTAAGAGACCATAAATTTATACGTACAATAAATATACATCGTGTTGAGACACAAATTTCAAGCAATCAACCTTTATACAACCTACATACTGTCATTGTCAACATACATATAACATATACGATTCTTAGATTCTATAACGAAACAAGAAAACGGAGCGCTTCGCCAGCAAAATAACACACGGATAGACCGATACAAACCTTCAAGTAAATTCCCATCACAACTCGTAATTTACAAACACAGGTTCAAGCCAAATCTTTAAAAAATATACCAAATTGAATATTCTTGATAACCCAATTCCAATGCGACGCCATGTTGCGAAAAAAAAAGCGGAAATTTTACGCCTGATTTCGCTACTTACGCCAAGAGCACTGGAAACTACTAACTTTTTTGACCCAGTCATTAACGCACCTGAGATAGCTCGGGACCAGAGCCACGGCTGACTACGCGACTACCACCATACGACTCGGCGTCAAATTCTGATTCAGAAAATGACTTCCTCGATATTTTTTGGGATTTCATCCTTCTCGCCAAATTTTCAGCCAGCCATAGCTCGGGACCGCAGCCACGGCTGACGACGCGACTACCACCATACGACTCAGCATCAAATTCTGATTCAGAAAATGAATTTCTCGACATTTTCTTGGATTTCACCCTTCTCGCCAAGTTTTCACCCAACCATAGCTCTGGACCGAAGCAACGGCTGGCGACATAACTACCATCATTCGAATCAGCGTCAAATTCTGATTCAGAAAATGACTTCCCAGACATTTTTTGGGATTTCACCCTTCTCGCCAAATTTTCACCCAACCATAGCTCCGGACCAAAGCAACGGCTGGCGACAAGACTACCACCATTCGAATCAGCGTCAAATTCTAATTCGGGAAATGACTTTCTCGACATGTTTTGGGATTTCACACTTCTCGCCAAATTTTCACCCAACCATAGCTCCGGACCAAAGCAACGGCTGCGACAAGACTACCACCATTCGAATCAGCGTCAAATTCTGATTCAGAAAATGACTTCCCAGAGATTTTTTGGGATTTCACCCTTCTCGCCAATTTTTCACCCAACCATAGCTCCGGACCAAAGCAACGGCTAGCGACAAGACTACCACCATTCGAATCAGCGTTAAATTCTGATTCAGAAAATGACTTCCCAGAAATTTTTTGGGATTTCACCCTTCTCGCCAAATTTTCACCCAACCATAGCTCCGGACCAAAGCAACCGCTGGCGACATAACTACCACCATTCGAATCACCGTCAAATTCTGATTCAGAAAATGACTTTCTCGACATTTTTTGGGATTTCACCCTTCTCGCCAAATTTTTACCCAACCGTGGCTCCGGACCAAAGCAACGGCTGGCGACAAGACTTCCACCATTCGAATCAGCGTCAAATTCTGATTCGGGAAATGACTTTCTCGACATTTTTTTGGATTTCACCCTTCTCGCCAAATTTTCACCCAACCATAGCTCCGGACGAAAGCAACGGCTAGCGACAATACTACCACCATTCGAATCAGCGTTAAATTCTGATTCAGAAAATGACTTCCCAGACATTTTTTTGGATTTCACCCTTCTCGCCAATTTTTCACCCAACCATAGCTCCAGACCAAAGCAACGGTTGGCGACAAGACTACCACCATTCGAATCAGCGTCAAATTCTGATTCGGAAAATGACTTTCTCGAAATTTTTTGGGATTTCACCCTTCTCGCCAAATTTCACCCAACCATAGCTCCGGACCAAAGCAACGGTTGGCGACAAGACTACCACCATTCGAATCAGCATCAAATTCTGATTCGGGAAATGACTTTCTCGACATTTTTTGGGATTTCACCCTTCTCGCCAAATATTCACTCAACCATAGCTCCGGACCAAAGCAACGGCTGGCGACATAACTACCACCATTCGAATCACCGTCAAATTCTGATTCAGAAAATGACTTTCTCGACATTTTTTGAGATTTCACCCTTCTCGCCAAATTTTTACCCAACCATAGCTCCGGACCAAAGCAACGGCTGGCGACAAGACTACCACCATCCGAATCAGCGTCAAATTCTGATTCGGGAAATGACTTTGTCGACATGTTTTGGGATTTCACACTTCTCGCCAAATTTTCACCCAACCATAGCTTCGGACCAAAGCAACGGCTGGCGACAAGACTACCGCCATTCGAATCAGCGTCAAATTCTGATTCAGAAAATGACTTCCCAGAGATTTTTTGGAATTTCACCCTTCTCGCCAATTTTTCACCCAACCATAGCTCCGGACCAAAGCAACGGCTAGCGACAAGACTACCACCATTCGAATCAGCGTCAAATTCTGATTCGGGAAATGACTTTCTCGACATTTTTTTGGATTTCACCCTTCTCGCCAAATTTTTACCCAACCATAGCTCCGGATCAAAGCAACGGCTGGCGACAAGACTACCACCATTCGAATCAGCGTCAAATTCTGATTCGGGAAATGACTTTCTCGACCACCATTCGAATCAGCGTTAAATTCTGATTCAGAAAATTACTTCCCAGAGATTTTTTGGGATTTCACCCTTCTCGCCAATTTTTCAGCCAACCATAGCTCCGGACCAAAGCAACGGCTGCCGACAAGACTACCACCATTCGAATCACCGTCAAATTCTGATTCAGAAAATGACTTTCTCGACATTTTTTGGGATTTCACCCTTCTCGCCAATTTTTCAGCCAACCATAGCTCCGGACCAAAGCAACGGCTGCCGACAAGACTACCACCATTCGAATCACCGTCAAATTCTGATTCAGAAAATGACTTTCTCGACATTTTTTGGGATTTCACCCTTCTCGCCAAATTTTACCCAACCATTGCTCCGGACCAAAGCAACGGCTGGCGACAAGACTACCACCATTCGAATCAGCGTTAAATTCTGATTCAGAAAATGACTTCCCAGACATTTTTTGGGATTTCACCCTTCTCGCCAATTTTTCACCCAACCATAGCTCCGGACCAAAGCAACGGTTGGCGACAAAACTACCACCATTCGAATGAGCGTCAAATTCTCATTCGCGAAATGACTTTCTCGACATTTTTTTGGATTTCACCCTTCTCGCCAAATTTTTACCCAACCGTGGCTCCGGACCAAAGCAACGGCTGGCGACAAGACTACCACCATTCGAATCAGCGTCAAATTCTGATTCGGGAAATGATTTTCTCCACCATTCGAATCAGCGTCAAATTCTGATTCAGAAAATGACTTCCCAGACATTTTTTTGGATTTCAACCTTCTCGCTAATTTTTCACCCAACCATAGCTCCGGACCAAAGCAACGGTTGGCGACAAAACTACCACCATTCGAATCAGCGTGAAATTCTCATTCGGGAAATGACTTTCTCGACATTTTTTTGGATTTCACCCTTCTCGCCAAATTTTTACCCAACCGTGGCTCCGGACCAAAGCAACGGTTGGCGACAAAACTACCACCATTCGAATCAGCGTGAAATTCTCATTCGGAAAATGACTTTCTCGACATTTTTTTGGATTTCACCCTTCTCGCCAAATTTTTACCCAACCGTGGCTCCGGACCAAAGCAACGGCTAATTTTCACCCAACCATAGCTCCGGGCCAAAGCAACGGAGAGCGGCAAGACTACCACCATTCGAATCAGCGTCAAATTCTGATTCAGAAAATGACTTCCACCATTCGAATCAGCGTCAAATTCTGATTCAGAAAATGACTTCCCAGACATTTTTTTGGATTTCACCCTTCTCGCCAATTTTTCACCCAACCATAGCTCCGGACCAAAGTAACGGTTGGCGACAAAACTACCACCATTCGAATCAGCGTGAAATTCTCATTCGGGAAATGACTTTCTCGACATTTTTTTGGATTTCACCCTTCTCGCCAATTTTTCACCCAACCATAGCTCCGGACCAAAGTAACGGTTGGCGACAAAACTACCACCATTCGAATCAGCGTAAAATTCTCATTCGGGAAATGACTTTCTCGACATTTTTTTGGATTTCACCCTTCTCGCCAAAATTTTACCCAACCGTGGCTCCGGACCAAAGCAACGGCTGGCGACAAGACTACCACCATTCGAATCAGCGTCAAATTCCGATTCAGCGACAAAACTACCACCATTCGAATCAGCGTGAAATTCTCATTCGGGAAATGACTTTCTCGACAATTTTTGGGATTTCACCCTTCTCGCCAAATTTTTACCCAACCATGGCTCCGGACCAAAGCAACGGCTGGCGACAACACTACCACCATTCGAATCAGCGTCAAATTCTCATTCGGAAAATGACTTTCTCGACAATTTTTGGGATTTCACCCTTCTCGCCAAATTTTTACCCAACCATGGTGGATTTCACCCTTCTCGCCAATTTTTCACCCAACTATAGGTCCGGACCAAAGCAACGGTTGGCGACAACACTACCACCATTCGAGTCAGCGTCAAATTCTGATTCAGAAAATGACTGCCCAGAGATTTTTTGGGATTTCACCCTTCTCGCCAATTTTTCACCCAACTATAGCTCCGGACCAAAGCAACGGTTGGCGACAACACTACCACCATTCGAGTCAGCGTCAAATTCTGATTCAGAAAATGACTGCCCAGAGATTTTTTGGGATTTCACCCTTCTCGCCAATTTTTCACCCAACCATAGCTCCGGACCAAAGCAACGGTTGGCGACAAGACTACCACCATTCGAATCAGCGTAAAATTCTCATTCGGGAAATGACTTTCTCGACATTTTTTGGGATTTCACCCTTCTCGCCAAATTTTTACCCAACCGTGGCTCCGGACCAAAGCAACGGCTGGCGACAAGACTTCCACCATTCGAATCAGCGTCAAATTCTCATTCGGGAAATGACTTTCTCGACATTTTTTTGGATTTCAACCTTCTCGCCAAATTTTTACCCAACCGTGGCTCCGGACCAAAGCAACCGCTGGCGACAACACTACCACCATTCGAATCAGCGTCAAATTCTGATTCGGGAAATGACTTTCTCGACTTTTTTTGGGATTTCACCTTTCTCGCCAAATTTTCACCCAACCATAGTTCCGGACCAAAGCAACGGCTAGCGACAAGACTACCACCATTCGAATCAGCGTCAAATTCTGATTCAGAAAATGACTTCCCAGACATTTTTTTGGATTTCACCCTTCTCGCCAAATTTTCACCCAACCATAGCTCCGGACCAAAGCAACGGCTAGCGACAAGACTACCACCATTCGAATCAGCGTCAAATTCTGATTCAGAAAATGACTTCCCAGAGATTTTTTGGGATTTCACCCTACTCGCCAATTTTTCAGCCAACCATAGCTCCGGACCAAAGCAACGGTTGGCGACAAGACTACCACCATTCGAATCAGCATCAAATTCTAATTCGGGAAATGACTTTCTCGACATTTTTTGGGATTTCACCCTTCTCGCCAAATTTCACCCAACCATAGCTGCGGACCAAAGCAACGGTTGGCGACAAGACTACCACCATTCGAATCAGCATCAAATTCTGATTCGGGAAATGACTTCTCGACATTTTTTGGGATTTCACCCTTCTCGCCAAATTTCACCCAACCATAGCTGCGGACCAAAGCAACGGTTGGCGACAAGACTACCACCATTCGAATCAGCATCAAATTCTGATTCGGGAAATGACTTCTCGACATTTTTTGGGATTTCACCCTTCTCGCCAAATTTTCACCCAACCATAGCTCCCGACCAAAGCAACGGCTGGCGACATAACTACCACCATTCGAATCACCGTCAAATTCTGATTCAGAAAATGACTTTCTCGACATTTTTTGGGACTTCACCTTTCTCGACAAATTTTTACCCAACCATAGCTGCGGACCAAAGCAACGGCTGGCGACAAGACTACCACCATTCGAATCAGCGTTAAATTCTGATTCGGAAAATGACTTTCTCGAAATTTTTTGGGATTTCACCCTTCTCGCCAAATTTTTACCCAACCATAGCTCCGGACCAAAGCAACGGCTGGCGACAAGACTACCACCATTCGAATCAGCGTTAAATTCTGATTCGGAAAATGACTTTCTCGAAATTTTTTGGGATTTCACCCTTCTCGCCAAATTTCACCCAACCATAGCTCCGGACCAAAGCAACGGTTGGCGACAAGACTACCACCATTCGAATCAGCATCAAATTCTTATTCGGGAAATGACTTTCTCGACATTTTTTGGGATTTCACCCTTCTCGCCAATTTTTCACCCAACCATAGCTCCGGACCAAAGCAACGACTGGCGACATAACTACCACAATTCGAATCACCGTCAAATTCTGATTCAGAAAATGACTTTCTCGACATTTTTTGGGACTTCACCCTTCTCGCCAAATTTTTACCCAACCATAGCTCCGGACCACAGCAACGGCTGGCGACAAGACTACCACCATTCGAATCAGCGTCAAATTCTGATTCGGGAAATGACTTTATCGACATGTTTTGGGATTTCAGACTTCTCGCCAAATTTTCACCCAACCATAGCTCCGTACAAAAGCAACGGCTAGCGACAAGACTACCACCATTCGAATCAGCGTCAAATTCTGATTCGGGAAATGACTTTCTCGACATTTTTTGGGATTTCACACTTCTCGCCAAATTTTCACCCAACCATAGCTCCGGACCAAAGCAACGGCTAGCGACAGGACTACCACCCTTCTCGGAAATTTTAACCCAACCAAAGCTCCGGATCAAAGCAACGGCTGGCGACAAGACTACCACCATTCGAATCGGCGTCAAATTCTGATTCGGGAAATGACTTTCTCGACATTTTTTGGGATTTCACCCTTCTCGCCAAATTTTCACCCAACCATAGCTCCGGACCAAAGCAACGGCTAGCGACAAGACTACCACCATTCGAATCAGCGTCAAATTCTGATTCAGAAAATGACTTCCCAGACATTTTTTTGGATTTCACCCTTCTCGCCAATTTTTCACCCAACCATAGCTCCGGACAAAAGCTACGGCTGGCGACAAGACTACCACCATTCGAATCAGCGTCAAATTCTGATTCGGCAAATGACTTTCTCGACATTTTTTGGGATTTCACCCTACTCGCCAATTTTTCACCCAACCATAGCTCCGGACCAAAGCAACGGCTAGCGACAAGACTACCACCATTCGAATCAGCGTTAAATTCTGATTCAGAAAATGACTTCCCTGAGATTTTTTGGGATTTCACCCTACTCGCCAATTTTTCACCCAACCATAGCTCCGGACCAAAGCAACGGCTAGCGACAAGACTACCACCATTCGAATCAGCGTTAAATTCTGATTGAGAAAATGACTTCCCAGACATTTTTTGGGATTTCACCTTACTCGCCAATTTTTCACCCAACCATAGCTCCGGACCAAAGCAACGGCTAGCGACAAGACTACCACCATTCGAATCAGCGTTAAATTCTGATTCAGAAAATGACTTCCAGAGATTTTTTGGGATTTCACCCTACTCGCCAATTTTTCACCCAACCATAGCTCCGGACCAAAGCAACGGCTATTATATTATTATTATTAATTAACATATTTAGACAGGTTGACTTCTTCAGGCAGTGTACCGCCTGCTATCAATGAAGGACCTGTATTTATGCTAAAATTAATTAAGTATTTAACTAAGATTGTTTTCTATGACATAGAATGTACAAAACATGATCACTAAACATACATTAACAATAGTACGAAAATGTTCACAATTACGGCGAACTAAAGTTAAAAGATTCAACTTTTCTTTTAAAGTTAATATACGAGTTCTCATTCCTTATTTCCTCGCTTAGTGAATTAAACAGCAAAACTCCTTGCACGGAGAACGACTTTCTACCGGCCTCTGTCTTAACTTTCGGTACAATTAAACGCGACAAGACTACCACCATTCGAATCAGCGTTAAATTCTGATTCAGAAAATGACTTCCCAGAGATTTTTTGGGATTTCACCCTACTCGCCAATTTTTCACCCAACCATAGCTCCGGACCAAAGCAACGGCTAGCGACAAGACTACCACCATTCGAATCAGCGTCAAATTCTGATTCAGAAAATGACTTCCCAGAGATTTTTTTGGATTTCACCCTTCTCGCCAATTTTTCACCCAACCATAGCTCCGTACAAAAGCAACGGTTGGCGACAAGACTACCACCATTCGAATCAGCGTCAAATTCTGATTCGGGAAATGACTTTCTCGACATTTTTTGGGATTTCACCTTTCTCGCCAAATTTTCACCCAACCATAGCTCCGGACCAAAGCAACGGCTAGCGACAAGACTACCACCATTCGAATCAGCGTGAAATTCTCATTCGGGAGATGACTTTCTCGACATTTTTTTGGATTTCACCCTTCTCGCCAAATTTTTACCCAACCGTGGTTCCGGACCAAAGCTACGGCTGGCGACAAGACTTCCACCATTCGAATCAGCGTCAAATTCTGATTCGGGAAATGACTTTCTCGACATTTTTTGGGATTTCACCCTACTCGCCAAATTTTCACCCAACCATAGCTCCGCACCAAAGCAACGGCTAGCGACAAGACTACCACCATTCGAATCAGCGTCAAATTGTGATTCAGAAAATGACTTCCCAGAGATTTTTTGGGATTTCACCCTTCTCGCCAATTTTTCACCCAACCCTAGCTCCGGACCAAAGCAACCGCTAGCGACAAGACTACCACCATTCGAATCAGCGTTAAATTCTGATTCAGAAAATGACTTCCCAGAAATTTTTTGGGATTTCACCCTACTCGCCAATTTTTCAAACAACCATAGCTCCGGACCAAAGCAACGGCTAGCGACAAGACTACCACCATTTGAATCAGCGTTAAATTCTGATTCAGAAAATGACTTCCCAGACATTTTTTGGGATTTCACCCTTCACGCCAAATTTTTACCCAACCGTGGCTCCGGACCAAAGCAACAGCTGGCGACAACACCACCACCATTCGAATCAGCGTCAAATTCTGATTCGGGAAATGACTTTCTCGACATTTTTTGGGATTTCACCTTTCTCGCCAAATTTTCACCCAACCATAGCTCCGGACCAAAGCAACGGCTAGCGACAAGACTACCACCATTCGAATCAGCGTCAAATTCTGATTCAGAAAATGACTTCCCAGAGATTTTTTGGGATTTCACCCTTCTCGCCAATTATTCACCCAACCATAGCTCCGGACTAAAGCAACGGCTAGCGACAAGACTACCACCATTCGAATCAGCGTTAAATTCTGATTCAGAAAATGACTTCGCAGAGATTTTTTGGAATTTCACCCTTCTCGCCAATTTTTCAGCCAACCATAGCTCCGGACCAAAGCAACGGTTGGCGACAACACTACCACCATTCGAATCAGCGTGAAATTCTTATTCGGGAAATGACTTTCTCGACATTTTTTGGGTTTTCACCCTTCTCGCCAAATTTTTACCCAACCGTGGCTCCGGACCAAAGCAACGGCTGGCGACAAGACTACCACCATTCGAATCAGCGTCAAATTCTCATGCGGGAAATGACTTTCTCGACATTTTTTGGGATTTCACCCTACTCGCCAAAGTTCACCCAACCATAGCTCCGGACCAAAGCAACGGCTAGCGACAAGACTACCACCATTCGAATCAGCGTCAAATTCTGATTCAGAAAATGACTTCCCAGACATTTTTTGGATTTCACCCTTCTCGCCAATTTTTCACCCAACCATAGCTCCGAACAAAAGCAACGGTTGGCGACAAGACTACCACCATTCGAATCAGCGTGAAATTCGCATTCGGGAATTGACTTTCTCGACATTTTTTGGGATTTCACCTTTCTCGCCAAATTTTCACCCAACCATAGCTCCGGACCAAAGCAACGGATAGCGACAAGACTACCACCATTCGAATCAGCGTCAAATTCTGATTCAGAAAATGACTTCCCAGACATTTTTTTGGATTTCACCCTTCTCGCCAATTTTTCACCCAACCATAGCTCCGGACCAAAGCAAGGGTTGGCGACAAGACTACCACCATTCGAATCAGAGTCAAATTCTGATTCAGAAAATGACTTCCCAGAGATTTTTTTGGATTTCACCCTTCTCGCCAAATTTTTACCCAACCGTGGCTCCGGACCAAAGCAACGGCTGGCGACAAGACTTCCACCATTCGAATCAGCGTCAAATTCTGATTCGGGAAATGACTTTCTCGACATTTTTTGGGATTTCACCTTTCTCGCCAAATTTTCACCCAACCATAGCTCCGGACCAAAGCAACGGCTAGCGACAAGACTACCACCATTCGAATCAGCGTGAAATGCTCATTCGGGAAATGACTTTCTCGACATTTTTTTGGATTTCACCCTTCTCGCCAAATTTTTACCCAACCGTGGCTCCGGACCAAAGCAACCGCTTGCGACAAGACTTCCACCATTCGAATCAGCGTGAAATTCTGATTCGGGAAATGACTTTCTCGACATTTTTTGGGATTTCACCCTTCTCGCCAAATTTTCAGCCAACCATAGCTCCGGACCAAAGCAAAGGCTAGCGACAAGACTACCACCATCCGAATCAGCGTCAAATTCTGATTCAGAAAATGACTTCCCAGAGATTTTTTGGGATTTCACCCTACTCGCCAATTTTTCACCCAACGATAGCTCCGGACCAAAGCAACGGCTAGCGACAAGACTACCACCATTCGAATCAGCGTTAAATTCTGATTCAGAAAATTACTTCCGAGAGATTTTTTGGGATTTCACCCTTCTCGCCAATTTTTCAGCCAACCATAGTTCCGGACCAAAGCAACGGCTGCCGACAAGACTACCACCATTCGAATCAGCGTGAAATTCTCATTCGGGAAATGACTTTCTCGACATTTGTTGGGATTTCACCTTTCTCGCCAAATGTTCACCCAACCATAGCTCCGGACCAAAGCAACGCCTGGCGACATAACTACCACCATTGGAATCACCGTCAAATTCTGATTCAGAAAATGACTTTCTCGACATTTTTTGGGATTTCACCCTTCTCGCCAAATTTTACCCAACCATTGCTCCGGACCAAAGCAACGGCTGGCGACAAGACTACCACCATTCGAATCAGCGTTAAATTCTGATTCAGAAAATGACTTCCCAGACATTTTTTGGGATTTCACCCTTCTCGCCAATTTTTCACCCAACCATAGCTCCGGACCAAAGCAACGGTTGGCGACAAAACTACCACCATTCGAATGAGCGTCAAATTCTCATTCGCGAAATGACTTTCTCGACATTTTTTGGGATTTCACCCTTCTCGCCAAATTTTTACCCAACCGTGGCTCCGGACCAAAGCAACCGCTGGCGACAAGACTTCCACCATTCGAATCAGCGTCAAATTCTGATTCGGGAAATGACTTTCTCGACATTTTTTGGGATTTCACCCTTCTCGCCAAATTTTCAGCTAACCATAGCTCCGGACCAAAGCAACGGCTAGCGACAAGACTACCACCATTCGAATCAGCGTCAAATTCTGATTCAGAAAATGACTTCCCAGAGATTTTTTGGGATTTCACCTACTCGCCAATTTTTCACCCAACGAGAGCTCCGGACCAAAGCAACGGCTAGCGACAAGACTACCACCATTCGAATCAGCGTTAAATTCTGATTCAGAAAATGACTTCCGAGAGATTTTTTGGGATTTCACCCTTCTTGCCAATTTTTCAGCCAACCATAGTT